GTTCTTTGAAAGAACCCAGAGATATCCCTAATCGATCTCATTGATGAAGAAGAGGTTACGCTCCTTTTGGACCTGGTAGCAACAGTTTATGTACCCGGACAACATCAAGGGCAAAGATAAACTTGTTCAGAGGTGTGGAATTTATCTTTTTTTTTTTTTTTTTTAAGAAAATCAAGACTGGCACGGCTGCAAAGCGCCGCTTTTCAACAACCACTGGTAAGTGGCACATGACACCCTATCTTGAATGTGAGATAATGCAAGTGAAGGAATTCGTTCCACCTCAGGGTTGCCAACCACGGGTGAACTTCAGCTTTAGTGTAGTTAGATGGAGAGACATGATAAGTGATGTTCTGGCAGGTCTCACCTTGACTTTGCAGTTGATAATAATACATCGTTAACACCGTGAGACAAACGGGACAAGGACAACTTTATAGTTATAGCGTGTAATTTACATTATCACATGTATTATTGGTTAGCACAAACAGAAATATATCATGCTAACGAAATCTGCTTTCAAAAATTGCTAACAACCTATTTTTTTTTTATTCTTAAATACCCGTAGCAACATTCCTAAAATGAATATTGTTGTATTAGTTGCGTTGAAATGAGTAACTAAATTAACCATTTAAATTAAAAGATACATTTTAAATAATTATTTATGATCTAAGATCACATTTATGCAAATACCAGTTAACAAGTTAATTTTAAAGATAAGACTTTCGTCTTTTATTGAAATATTTCTGTAATCAAAAATCAAATCATACAGTGGTTTCATAGTATTAATTTATACACCAATAAATCAAGTTTAATTACGCTTAGCTGAAAAAAAGATTCATACACACAAGCAACGCTAAATTAAATCACTTTATTAATAAATCTTTATAGGCGCGCAAGACTCTGAGACTATCGTCCCACAATGTTAAGTGGAAACAATATTACCAATTTAAAAAAAGAAAATAAACGATTTTCCCCAATTAATTGTCGGGGAAAAAATGGCAAAGAATACCTTTTTATTATTATTATCAGTAGTAATATTAAGCTCTGCTGTTATTATTGTGTAGACTAAATTTTAAATACACTAAAATAAAAAATAAATACATTACAGAAATATACACACGTTTTCTGCGTACATATTTTCATCTGTTGATAAACTTGCATCGACGTACCCCAAGTTAAAATCTTATGCACTTAGGTCATGCCCTTTTCCCTTTTGAAAATTACCTGGTCAGAGTACATTTTTTTTTACATGACATTTGTATTAAATTCGCGTAAAACAAACTACAAATCTACAAATAAATAAATAAACAAATAATAAATAAATACAATTAATTTAATAAAGTTAACGAAATAAGTCTAAATAAAACGGAACGGGTGCCATGAAGACGCTCAGAATAACGAAAGACACAACTTTAGTTGGCCATTTCACAGCCTACTCTGTGTGGTACATCATTTAGACAACTATTTAGAATAATTGTGTAACTTTATACTAGCATCTCAAAATAATATTTAGATTAATGACTTTCGCCCTCACACGAATTGCATATTACGCGGCACACATATACAAAGAAACGCACTCAAATTTAATTTCCAAGCCTTGGACTAAAGGCACAGATGCGAGGCAGGTGATGTAAGGCGAGGGCTGAAGCAAAGCGTTGCATTCGGCGAGAGAAAAAATGGAGAGGGAAAACGGTTAACAGCAGGATTGCATGCAAATTTCCGATTGAAATTATCATAAGCAAACAGCTGAAGCCTGAGCTAATAAAGGCCCATCTGTGTTACTTCATATCGGGTTAGTATAGAGCTGCGATAATGAATTTTGTAATATCCAACCGACAGACATCTCAATCAGACACTAATCCCCTGATTTTACCGCGGAATCACTCAACTTCCAGCGCTCAAACTGCTCTCTTTCTCTCAGTGACACACACACACGGTGCATGGTTTCTCCTCTTTGTGCGTTGTTTTCATGTGCGCTTGGAGACACGAGTCTTAATTAGGAGGGACTCGTGCAAGCGCTACGGGATTTCAAAACAAATGATGAGGAATGTGCACATCCCATCACAGACAGGAACTCTCCAATATATGAATGGATTTGAAATATATTATCACTGAGTGGCCCAGTCGGTCATGTGTGAAAACGACCAACTAAACATTCTCAAACAGAAGTTGGCCTACACATTTGACTATTCCTGACATAACATGAACTATAAGATATAAAATAAACACTTCTCTTTTTTCACAGGTGCTCAACGTTAATCTAACAAATGGACTCCCACTGCCGCAAACTTGCATCAACGTGTGCTCAATTAGGTAAGAAGATCTTGGTGAATGACAAGCCCCCTCTTTGTTAAATCTCCAGAGAAGATCTGGATTCATTAATATCCTTGGTTTGTTTAATCAAACATCTCAACATTGTCTGACCTATATAAAATAGCAATCGCAGCTAGAAAAACTGGTTTATGTAAAAGTAAGGCGTGTGTAAACTACCTTTGGTGTTTGACATATGACTGGTTATAAGGAAAGCGGAACAATTAGACGTTTATAGTCAAAGATGGACATCTGGTGGTAGGACAGGATCATGGATGAGTGGGAACGTCTTTACGGTACAGTTTAGCAGCGTATTTAGATGACTTTAGAGTTTTAACGCCAAAGTCTGTGTGATTTTAAAGGTTTGTGATGTCTAAAATATCTTGAAAACAAAATACTGATCCGATTCTTCAAAATGCCTATGATAAAATGTAGCCTATTTGTGGTTAGGTGATCACGTGCGTCCTCAATGAAAAAAACGTGGCTATTAAGATAATAAAAATTAGATATTGCCTAATTACAATTCAGCATGATAGACTGTAGCAGACAGATTAAGCGCAAATATATCACCATTTTCTATTTATGTATTTAGTGCACAAGAACAATTTAAACAGAAACGTAAAAAGACTAAATTAAAACTATAAGGAAAACTGTACAGGCTACTGGAAGGATGGTACTTAATGCGTGGCCGGTCTCCGGGTCATCTGGCATCTTTATTAAGCTAATTAAAGCAAACTAAGAGCAAATCACAACACTTATTTAGCCGCATTAGTCTGTTTGTCATTACATCCCATGTCCCATTGTCATTTGGACTAGAACCGATACAGATATAGCGGATAAGAGATAAAAGGAAAAAGTGAGCATAAAATGCAAACAGCAATGTAAGAGGGAAAAGACATTGGAGCGACTTGATTACCGACAATCTCGTCTCCTCTGCAGTAATATATGCAGCACTTATTAGATAGACTCAGGGGAAAAGTAAATGTGTAATGAAAGCCTCCTCGTGAGGAGGAATATGCTAATGGAAGAATCTAATGTCCTCTTAATCCTATGGAAAAGGCTTTGTCGTCTCCCTTATATTGACTGAATTGGTAATTAATGGCTCTGAGGTGCGCCATGGCCAATAATCCACAGCAGGCTGTGAGAGTGCTCTGAAGCATTTTGAGGGTCCAGAATAAACACAGAGCAATAATCTAGTCCACATCTATCAGTGCGTTTAACAAGAATCGAGCTCTGCAACTTTTGCCTATGGAATGTTGATGCGCACAATTCATATTTATGTGTAAAACGTTCATATTTTAATTTAGTCTGTCTGGGGTCCAGAATAATCATGACATTAATGTTGTTTGTATACTCTCTCTCTCTCTCTCTCTCTCTCTATATATATATATATATATATATATATTCATATTCATATAAGTTAAATATTCAAAATAAATCAAATAAAACTGAATGGCAAGTGTGAGAAAACAGACCGAAACATGATCTTTAATAGTGTGCAGTGTCTGAGCGCAAATGCATTGAACGCGAGGTCACATTCTCATACAAAAAGACCTGTACATACACGATTGGTCGGTTCCAGGATCATATATTGTGCCATAAATTAATATCCAGTAACAAGAGCGTGAGCTGAATCAAAGTCAGGGAAGGAGATGGTCGGGTCATTTTCATAAGCACCTGACTGCCTTTTCTCTTTTCTCAGTTTTTTCCCCTACTTAGTATGTTTGACATTTCAGATGATTTTTCAGGACAAGCAGGGAAGCAAACAATGTAGAGTTCAGTAGCTCATTTAGTTACACAAATTTCCTCACTTTCTATTGAGTTTTTTTTTATATTAATTATGAAAGCTGCATGCAGCTGCTTGCAACAATGAAACTGTGTTGGGCGCTTCTTCTCCATATATATATATTACACATTTACTGTGCTACTCAATCCAACTAGGAAAAATATGTTTTCTCCCACGTGATATTATTTTATAACTAAGAAATGCAGTTCGGGAAAATTATAAATAAATTACAGTTAATTAGGGCTAATAAATAAATGTTTTTTTTTTTCTTTTCAATAAAATAATGCGGTTATTATAGTATAAGTAAATTATTGCAATGTTTTGAAGGAATTAGAGACAACAATGCTTGAAGTCATTAAAGATGCCCATTTAATATTCTTAAGCAAATGAGCGTCTGATAGGCCTACTCAGATCAAATGTAGCATACTCAGAAAAGCAAAGTGTGGGTGCTCTCTCTCGCGAAATAATCACGGGCCCAAGGCGCACAAATGTAGCCTACCTCGCCAAAGTGTTTTCAGTCCCTAAATTAAATTGCAAAACTAATGTAAGCAGGAATAAACTCAAGAAGAATTTTTTTCTGATTGTTTTCTACTGTAGGCCTACAGTTATTATTTATAATATAATGCCATTATCTACCAGTCTAGGACTGAGCTTATTTGTTACCAATGAATTAGTAACGCGGCCTGTGATACCCTGTAAACTCACTGTCGCGAAGAATCATCCAATTAACGTGACAAAAGTGGAACGTTCATTCAGAAATGAGCATCTTTCGAGAGCGCCATTATACGTTTTTGTATTTAGTTCTGCCAATTGCTGAGATTATTTTACTTTGACAGAAATCTGTGTTGGAGTTAATAAAAAAAATAAATAAATAAAAGCTTTTCGATAATACCTGCTGAGAAAAAGTTGAACCATCGCCAGGTGTGCTATGAGAAATTTGTTTAACACATTTTGCTTTCTTGGAAGCCACTGGTGAATGCCCAGCCTCTCTTTATTTACATGCTTTTTAGAGGAAAAAAGGGTGCACTTTCTAATTTCTTAGGGTCGTTTTATAGTCGGTTGGCCATAAAATCTGTCATGTATAGGCTCTAATGTTCCGTCAGATTGTGGGCGGAGTCTGTGTGACGTCAGGACGCATAGAGCAGCTCGGTTGGACGGATAGAAAGACAGCTGAAATGAAGAGCGAGCGCTGTGATGTGCAGGAGAGTGTGTGTGTATGCAAGTGGATATAATATCACATATCTGTCCCTGTCACTCTGGCTCTCCTTGTAGCGCTCGGCTGAAACCGAGATATCTTTTACCCATTTGAAACGAAAAAAAAAAACTCTCTTTTAACTCTCTTCAAAACTGGGTTTATTTTATTACGATAAAAGCCGTTTGAGGAGTATCGCTTTGAGTGGTTTAAGTGAGAAAGGAGCACTGACAACGCTTGCCGATACTTCACTACTGGACACATTCATTTATTTTATTTATTTATTCATTTTTATATTTGTGACCTTCGCTGAGGAAGTTACATCTGCTTGCGAACCCTCCGCAAATCGCTTGTGTTATCCATGACCTCTATGAAGGATCCGTTGAGTTTGGACCACCATCACCACGTTACCGGGAGTAAACACACGCCGCTTACGATGGCCTCTAGTCTGCAACCGCTCCAGCGGTCTGTGGACTCGAAACACAAGCTGGAGGTACACACGGTTTCAGACACCTCCAGTCCAGAGTCCGTAGGTAAGCCCTGATCCTCTGAAGAGATATTTAACTGGAGTGTTTTCGGGTTTGGTGTCAGTTACCATTAGGTATACTGCCTCTGAAAAGAAACCGTTTAAAACATCTCCCTCAATTTGAAAACAGAGTAGGTTATAACTGTATACAGTGTGAGGCATGCAAATATATCAAGACATGGAACTGGCAGTTAGTTGATTCATAGGACTATTGAAGTCATGCCCTTTGACAGGGCTTTATTTACTTAAATTGTGTGTGAAAATGTGGGCTTCTCACAAATGTTTACACTGTGGCAATGCGTTTTGTATGGAATAATGCAAACATTCCCTAACCCTAATGTTCCTTTTTTTTCGTATGATGAAAAAGACATGTTGCGTTCATTGTGGTTAAAATATTTTCTAAACCTTGATTTTAGAACATTTGTACTTGGATTTTTAGTTCAGAAACATCAACATCATAAGTTGTTACCAGGGACCCTACTTGTTACTATGATGTCAAATATTTGCAATTCAATAAAACGGAATTAGATTTATCTCCCTTCTCTAATGTGTCTAAACTGAGCCTCAAGCTTAAAAATTGTTCCTCTTGGATTAAATATTTATTTTAAAATACTGTATTACTTTGCATTGCAGAGAAAGAGAAGGGACAGAGTAAAAACGAAGATTCGACTGATGACCCATCGAAAAAGAAGAGACAGAGGCGGCAACGAACGCATTTTACTAGCCAACAGCTCCAGGAACTGGAGGCCACTTTTCAGCGGAATCGCTATCCGGACATGTCCACTAGAGAGGAAATCGCTGTTTGGACTAATTTAACAGAGGCCAGAGTCAGAGTAAGTTTGATAAATGAAATGGCATTGAAATAATATGTGTTTGGAAACAAATCCACAATTCAAGGATCAAATTCAATATTTTAAATTAGCCCACTAAATAAAAAAGTAGCCTAATAAAATTGTGTACACGCGTACAATAGGCCTACTTAAAATAAAAGAATAATTCTTAAAAAATAATTCTTACTATTAATTATATAATAGCCTATAATTATAATTAACATATTGGTACTGTTTTAGGGTTATTGTATTTATTTCAACTATTTTGTTCATACATATACTTTAGCTAACTATAGGCGCTACATGCTATACTAGCTAAAATTGCATTATGTTAATTAAGGTTACATGCTAAATATTACTTTATTTAATAATTTAAATAGAAATATGTCACTGTTTGGATAGAGGCTAATTATGGGTGAGACAAATTGTTTGCAATCACCATACATGACGCCCTAACGATGACAGACCTTAATGGAGTCACACAGTCTCGTTTAAAGAGGTGTAAAGCTTGTATTTTGTGATTGTCATTCTCGTGTTGTATATACTTAAGGTTAGTGTGTCTCCGCCTGCTTAGTGAGATACACATTCGAAGCGTCGGGCGGCCCATTGACCGCTATAAGACTGGATGTGTATTGGGATTCCCGGGATCAGACAAGATTCCGGGTGACTGATAAAAAGCGACTTATAGGGAACCTAACTGAGTTTGACACCACCACCGCCCATATCATTTATCTACCAAAAACAAACCGAGCAGTAGCTCGTTCTGAAAACTTATAATCGCCGCTTTCATTGTTCTCTTTGTTTCAGAAAATAATTATGTAGTCTAATTATGAAACTAAATTATTTTCTACATTTGTTGCAGGTGTGGTTCAAGAATCGACGGGCAAAATGGAGAAAAAGGGAGAGGAACCAACAATCAGAGCTGTGTAAAAACGGTTTCGGCCCTCAATTCAACGGACTTATGCAGCCCTACGATGACATGTATCCCAGCTACACGTACAACAACTGGGCTGCAAAGGGGCTCACGTCGGCCTCTCTGTCAACCAAAAGCTTCCCCTTTTTCAATTCCATGAACGTCAATCCGCTGTCGTCTCAGACCATGTTCTCCCCACCTAACTCCATCTCTTCAATGAGCATGTCCTCCAGTATGGTTCCGTCTGCGGTCACCGGCGTACACGGATCAAGTTTAAACAGCCTCAATAACTTGAATAACCTCAGCAACCCCTCTCTAAATTCGGGGGTTCCCACGCCGACGTGCCCTTACGCCCCACCGACACCTCCGTATGTTTACCGGGACACTTGTAACTCCAGTCTTGCCAGTCTGAGACTGAAAGCCAAGCAGCACTCGAGTTTTGGATACGCCAGCGTGCAGAATCCGGTCTCCAATCTTAGCGCCTGCCAGTACGCAGTGGATAGACCGGTGTAAGAGACGATTGTAGAATTTACAATCCCGAATCCCAGGAACAAGAGACTACACTTTTTGTTTCAAGGGCACTAGAAGAATAAACCACTGAAACGCGTCCAATCCTGTGATGGAATGTCCAGCGGGAACGGAAGGCAAACGCGCCATTTCTAATAAGATTAGTTCTCTACACTAGCAAGTGCACACAATCCAGTCAAGAGTTTAGGACACCAGAATATTTAAAAAAGCTCATTTATTTTGACTTCAACTTTTGGACAGTAATTGACTGAACGGTTGTACATAGGCTGTAGCCTACATATATCTTATCTCCAATTTGTAGAGGCGAAAGCTCTAACTCTTAAGCATTTTCGAGAATTCTGTTTAACACAGCATGTGGAAAACGTACAGGAATCATGTCTTGCTTGCTATCAAGGGAATGTACATAGGCCTATTAAACGCACCAGTCGTGTGTGATATTATAAATTTATTATTAAATGTCTGTGTGAATATAGATCTAGAATAGCAACCCTGGCTAATAATACAAAACTGTTTCTGCGAAATGAACTTGGTTTTTGCTCTGTGTATAATATTTGGTACGGAATTTTTGTTTCGCTTTTCAACATCCCAAAAATAATCAATTGTGTTTTATTTAATGGAAGTAAATATATTGTTCTAAAACATTTCAAAACGTTTTCTTCTCAATTTTTGCATTCTCGTGTGTGTAGCACACATTTGTTTTCTTTGTGACACTTCTAAGGTTTATAGAGAGAAGGAAGGAAAACGTTTCTCATACACATCAGCGTGACATGAGAAGTCCGGTGAAGAGGGCGAGATGTCCCGAGCAGATTAGGAGTCGAATATACAAGACTGACTGGAGGCTGGGCCTCCAGTGATCACCGATGCTTGAAATAACATTGCAATAAGATCGGGTCAGGCTGGACCACACATCACCGAGCCATCTCCCAGCTGAACTCCTTCAAAAAAATAAATAAAATGATGTGATACATGATGGTCCAGTATTAAGCTCATCGGATCGTGATTAAGTTGAAAATAAGGCTCATATCTCATATGATTCATTACTTATAATAATATATAAAGTGCCATCCCACTGCGCAAACAAAAGTCATATTTATCAGAGTAGAAATGCGCATATAATTGGAAGTAATCGCGACAGTGTTACAGCCTTACACACAATAAAAAAGTTAAATACAATCTAGAATTCAGTGGTATTTTAAATGTTGAGTTTACAGTAGACAGCTATTTAGGGAAACCATTTAACATTTTGCAGTATTTCATTTTGATAACATTCATTAGTCATTAATTTTGATGACTAACAGCTGCACCGAATAACACCACAACTAATTTTAAATGCCTTCACAAATTTCGTTAAATCACATTAGCATTACAGGCCTAGAATGGCATTATATCGGCTAATAGCCACTATGCTTTCTCTTGGAAACTCGTATTAGTCAAGTACAAAGCTACTATCTCTCTTGCGTGAGAATAACAAAGTTATTTAAGAGTAGGACGCCTCATTCAATAGGTTCTGAAATGCACCTCTCTGTTGTCTATTAAATCATGTTAATGCAGTTGGGGAAAATGAGCACAGGCCAGCTGCAACTGACCCAGAATGACTCTGTAGATCCACTATATGTGCAGGACCCACTGACTGAGCTGGAGGTTTTTTAAAGTGTGAGCAAACATCAGATGGGGTGAGCTTGAATTGTTGGAGAGAATGTATGTGAGGATTATGGGTGTGGATTTGGGTATGGTATGGAAAACTTCAAGTGTCACTGCCTTTAGTTAAAGGGATAGTTCACCCAAAAAATAAAATTTTGTCATTTGCTTACCCTAATGTCATTCCAATCCTGTATGATTTTCTTTCTTCTGTGGTTCACACAAAAATACATTTTAAAGAATGTTTCAGTTTTTGTCTGTACGATGAAGGAGGTCCAAAACAGATTGGATCCCACTGACTTTCATTGTATGGAGAGAGAGAGAGAAAGAAAGAGAGAGAGAGAGAGAGAGAGAGAGGGAATTTCAAAATACCTTCTTTTGTTTTGTTTGGAACAACATGAGGGGGATTTTATTTTTATTTTTGGGTGAACTACTCCTTTAAGATCAGACCATTCTTTGAAAAAAGTCATGATTATATGCTTTCTATAGAGCAACTATGTGTCTGTACCTGCATCTGAAGATGTGCCTCTTCTCTCGTATGTTCTTTGTGTGCATATCTCTGTTCTTTTTGTGTTTGGAAAACGTGTTGGCATATTACTAACATGCATGTCTATACCCTTTCATCTGATGTGCTTGTGTTTCGTTGGTCAAAGTGTGTGTCTACCTTTAGGATGTGCCAGAGCTTGTGTGTATCCGTGTATATATCCTATCCTTTGACATGCTTGAGTGTTCTTTTTTGTGTATTCGGGTGTGTGTGTCTGACACGGCCCTGCCTTTGATGAGCTGAGTGTGACGCTGGGACGGCTTCTCTGGCCGCAGGCGTGTGCTAGTGTGGGAGCGTGTGAATGATCAGACATGGAGTAAACTTCCATGACTCAGACACTTCCTGCTTTCTCAACTTATATGAAAAAGAAACATCTTCAATGTTTTGACTCTAAAATCGATTAGGAATTCCACACAGTGAGTACCATTAAATCACAGATGCACGGATGTGTGTGGAATTAACAAAGAGTGTCAGTGAAGAGGCCCAACCGCAACCTTTCTCTATTGTTTTGCAGTGGGAAGCGAGTAACGGAGGACTGATGATGTAATGCAATGCTTAAATAAAGCCTATAAGCTGTCCAGACTGCGAGAAGCTTTACATTTTGGATGCAGAGAGATACAGAATATTTTCCCAAAATAACAGCAGTGATTGTGTTTCAGTAATATTGTGAGGATGTAATGCATGTTGATATGCAAGTACTTGCAAATATGCAGTAGCCTATGTTAATATTAACAATATAATTTATCTGAAAATAAATATATTTCTGTCATAAGCATTAGACAATAAAACAAACCGTAATTCTGTCAAGAAATAGCCACTGATAAAACAGCATGCAATAGATGACGAAGTTGGTGGTGAATAAAAACATGCAAAAAGCAAAATTAATATATAAAATTTTAAAAAATATATATATAAAAAGCTAAAGATTTAAAATAACAAAAAAAACTAAACTTGAAACAAATAATGCTAATCTTTAAAATATCACATTAAGACAAAATACACAAATCAACATCTAAGAAATGGCAATATCTAAGCATGAATGAAACAAAAAAAATTGTTTACTAACCGAATACCAGTTGACTGTTTTTTCATAAACAATTCAAAAGGAACTAGTCATGTCATAGGAAGCACACACCCTAAAACAGACCAGGGCTCCACACAGGCCCAGGATATACACCCTTCTCTATTGTTCTGCCAGTTCTGTGCTTGCTATGCAAACTTTTGAAAGGCAGCTGCATACACACACACAAAAGTAGACAAGTAATGTATAAGAGTTGCGACCGGTGTTAAATTGTGTGTGTGCCTGCAGTGACTAAAGAATTAAGTGAAAGGTAAGAAGAGAATGAATGACAGCATTGTGAAGCTCAGGGTTAACAGTAACAAAATACCCCAGCTCTCTCAACCTCATCACCTTTCACAAATATGACATCATCATTCGATTAAAGCTTTAACACATCAAATGTGAAAAGGTCAAGAGCATAAAGCCTCAAGCAAGACAACCATATCAACACTGTTACTACACAACTTACTGACTAGTCGCTAAAATATACTCTATGTCAACTGCATGAGAAAATATTCAATAAGTCAGTTATTATAAACAAATCATGCTCTGCAGAGCTTAAAGCGGCAAGCTCAGATGCACAATGTTCTGCGACCCTGGAAGTTGTATGTTAATGCATACGCCGCAGCCTTCATCTGATGTTTTAATCTTTCATAAGGGAAGACAGGTTTGAACCCGCAGGCTGCCTAATAAACCAGTGAAAGCAATCTGCTGCGATTCTTTTTCAAACATCCTCCTCATTATGTGCCACAGTATGCACTCAAAAATCCTGCTAATCTCATTGGAAAGATGACGTGAGCTGAACGACATTAATGTATCTGTAGATGCAGAAACGGCAGAGAGTTTAGGAGAGAAGCAGACTATTTTGTGTCCATCCATCAGCTCTGTCTCGATTTTGTCTCTGTGATGGCTTGATTAGCTGCAGTATAGAGCTTTTTAACTGACTTTCCAACTTCTTAATGCAGCAGGTGCAGTGTTTCCTTTGAGATGACATACAGCGGGCTGCTGTGATTTCATAACAGATTTAGCTGGGAAATCTACTTATAAAGAAACAATACTAGCTATCAATGCCAGCCTGATGTAATAATAAGATGTGAATGTAATGGTGTAACTATGATTAAAACAAAAAAAAAAAAGTATAGGCTTAGATTGTTGCCCCCTCTAAAATATAAATGTACTGAACTCTCTAAAACATCATCTAATGCCCTGCAGTATAATACATTTAAAACACCACAACTAACTAAAACATAAATGCCTGAAGCACAATTTCAAACATTTGTAATACAAGTGCTATACACCTACACGTCCAAGAGGGGGCAGTGCAACTAATACAATTAAAAGTACAGACCCATAATTGAGTTTTCAACCGTTTAATGTCCCACACACCTTATCCTTGTTTAAGAAACAATGATGTTTTTAACGAAGTTAATTCTCATTAACATTATAATAGTCATCTGCACCCTAACCACTCCCAGCTCCTCAGGATGTGTAAACAAGTTGTTCAAGCAGTCACAACTGCTTTCTGTAAGAGAGATGGTGATAATTGGCTAACTAGTTGTTTTTAAGAGCAATGGGTCAACACTGAACAAAAAAAAAGATCAAAGGTAAATCATCTCAAAAAATTAAACAGTAATCATTGGTAACATGGTTATTATTGACACATTAACTGATGCAGATGAAGAGTGATATTACTATCAATTTATTTATTTGTTTCAGTTTGAATAAAAATTTTATTCAAAAACATTCATATAGCCTACTGAAATTTCACCATAGAACGGTTGTTTCGGTATGTGACCACTAGATGGTGCAACAATAAGTAAGAGGAAGACAAAAAGTGTTGTACAAACAAATTGTGTGCAACAATAACAAAATAAGATCAACAGTTTCAGATCAACCTACTAAAAATATGAATGATATAACATTAATTTTAAAATAATAATAATTGACTGTTGTTGTGATGCTCTAT